AAATTAGCTTCTCTGTTAAATCTGGTGCACACATCTTTTATTCTTATGAATGAGTAATGTAAGTGCATATTGTCCTTTACAAACTAAACTAAACATTGAATATGAAATGTTTTAATAGACCCTTGATTGTCACTTTGCTTATATTTTTCTTCTTTTCTTGTAGCTGTTTTTTTTTATGTTTTTACCTCTTGGTGAATGTTTTATTTTAAAGTTACAATGTGTAATTTATGTGGTTGTTTATTAGCAAATATCAACTATTGCTATCATAAATATATATTTACTAAAGTGTAATGCAATTCACATACAAATGGAAGCTTTCTCATAGGCTTAGAATGATTTCTCTATATATACACATATTTGAATACAGTGGCCGAAAGGGATATATGCGCTTCGCCTTTCGCGTTTACCTAGAACTTGCCGTCACTGGAGACAGAGAAGGTGAAGTTCAATCCTTGGTGCTTCTGCGTGAACCTGCTTTATACTTTTATGATTCTGTCGCACTTTAAATGGAGGACCACACATATGTTTTGCCCCGTAAGAGGGAAACCACGCCACCAAATAAAAGAAAAAGATCAGATAAGCGAAGACGGGACAAAATGCGAGTGAATATCAGCGTTGCTTATTCCAGGTGGAAAGAACTCCTGTGGAAGAACACTCTGGAAACGCATATATTATAATCGTACCAACCTGTATTTGCCGCACTGTGCGGTGACTATCACATAAAACATGTTATTTTAGCATTACTGTGCTAATGTTTGCTCGTGTTACCAAAACAATTAGAGATAAAACACTCCTAACATAACGTTATATCTCACAGATAACCTATATGTCACTGGTAAGCTATAACATATTGTAGCGTCCGCCAAGACGTGTGGAAAGGATGACGCAGTTATTCGGCAAACCACCGTTTATTACTGAACAGTACAGGTTACTGTTGGCCGTAACTACGCCAAAACAACCAATAAACAAGAACTTAACTGTAACTCCAACTGTGCACTCCTGCTCTCTCCTCCAGCTCGCTCATACACACACCAGCACGCGCACTCACACAGCCCTCATCCCCGTCACACTCGCACCCCGCCCCCCTACCTATACTCATTCAATCCCAAACATGCCATTAACTCACAGAACATTGACATTATAACAGAACATTTACTGCAGGGTCGCTACAATATCCTAACATGGTTTAGATTCCTAAATAAATATTCACCTCATCGCTAGATAGGCCTACTCCTGAAAAACTTGAAAAACTCGTGGATGATGCCATCTCTGTCTGCGCAAGGCTTTTTGTCCTACGAGGCCACCGTCACTTACCCGATGGGAGGGGTGAGCGAGTGAGCGCAAGTGAGCCCTGCAATCTAGAATTTGACCGCTGATGTCACTGTTACTCACCATTTTTACACACTGAGGGCTAAATTCACAAAAGGATTGCGTGGCTTTTGCGGCCGCTAAACCGGTAAAAATGGAGCAAACAGATACCGTCTAATTCACAAAGCACGTGCAGAGGGTGAAATGCTCCACTAACTGTGCTGCCAAGCAGATTGCGTCTTGGTGCTCCGGTGTTTTTTGCACGTATTTAAATGAGGTAATATGCATATATTTGGCACAAAAATTGCCCCTTTCTATGCAAATGAGCCTCACTGATAAACAACGTCTAATTCACTAACACCAGTGCTAATAGCCACATGCAGTTTGAGTGAAGTAAATAACGTCTTTAGAAAGCTGGTGCAAACTGGGCGCTCCTCTGTGGAAGCCTCGCCCAGACTTTCCAGTGATCGTGGCAGAAGTGATCGTCTGTTAAATCAGTCTGTAAATAATATTTTGACATTATTATGATAATCATTATTACTTTAATGGCATCCGAAGATACTGAGCATTGAACAGGTGACAGTCTGCGGTCGTTCTCAAAACGCACTTCTGTCACACACTTCAAAAGCAACTTTAAATAATTTATTTTACGAAACGGGGGAAACAAACGTCAACAAAAACGGTTCCATAATTCATATTAAATAACTAATTAAATAATTAATAATTAAATAATGAAAAAACAGCTACAAGTGAGAGGGAATAGTGATAAAGTGGTCAAACTTGGTCAAATCCACAGCCTCAACCCATCCGACACTGTTAGACTGACTCACCAGCAGACATCACTACATGAGGGGATACAGTTTTCAGTACTTTGCCAAACAAAGTCTGCAATTGTTCTGCCACAGTGTTCTTGGCGCAAAGCCAGCATTTATACTTTGCCATGTGGCTAATTGCAATCAGGGGCAAATCAGGGGCAAACTGCACTCAGCTGCCAAACTTTGTGGGCGTGTTTGCCCGGTATATCATTAGCGCAATATCCTTTATGAATAGGACGTTAAGACGGAGCAAACTGCAGGTGCAAGTGAAGTGCAATTCAAGGTGCTATCAGCGGCCGCAGTTCATTCCTTGTGAATTCGGCCCTGAGGCTTTAATGTGTACCTACATGTAACTCCTATTTATATGTCCCTGTAGAGCTCTCTTGCCCTGAGTGAGTTATTACTTTGTAAATAAAGGTTTCAGTCAATCAATACATAACATTTTCAAGAATCTACCAATCTAATACAATAACATAAACACTGTAAATAAATAAAACAATATGACACTGTCTCTTTGAAAAGTTTTGTTGCAATAGCTAATGTAGCCAGACACTGTAGAAATATGTAATATTGACAAAGGTCAAGGTCATTGTGACCTTGCATCTGTCTCATTCACGTGAACAGTATATCTCAAGAACACCTTTAGGGAATTCCATTAAATTTGACACAAACATCCACTTGGAATGAAGAATAAACTAATTAGAATTAGGATTAGTAAAGGTCAAAGGTCAAATTCACTGTGACATCATAATGTTCTGCATAAAACACTTCTCTGGTCATTGTTCAACGTCACATCTCAAAACCAGAAGGGGAGACATTTGGTCAGATACCTAATTGGTGACACCCATCTTGGGTGCCCACCTTAAAACTGTACTGATTGTATAGATTTTCTGTACTGTCTGGGCAAAGATTGTGTTAAGCATTCATGTTTTCACAGACATGGATGTAAACGAAAAGATATTTGACTGGTGCGTGGGGGCATACAACAGTGGGGTGGTAGTTTTCCTTTGTATTTACTTGTGTTTTCTTTGTGCATTGGTCTCAGCTTCCATAAATTTGGTTGTAACTTTGCTTGCACCTTATACAGCGCACACACACACACACACACATACACACACACACACACACACACACACACACACACACACACACACACACACACAAATTCAATTCAATCAGCCAGCACTCCTCTGCAGTATGCCCCTACTCCCAGTTTTAGGTCAGCTTCAATACAAACTCACAGCAACTCATTAGCATTAACTGTTGAGTCCGTTACATGCAAATACATTGCTGATAAAAGATACTATTGTGCACTGGACATCTACTTTTTGTGTGTTTGAGAAAACAGTGACATGAAAGTATAATTAACATAAAGCTGACCAAGAGAAGAGTGGGACTTTTGGTCATGGGAGAGCAGGTTCCACACACACACACACACACACACACTGAAGAGGAAAAACTAAATTGTGTTGTCCTACCCATGCAAAACAGTTATTCAGTAAAAAAAAAAATTCAGGCTCTTGAGCTTTGCCACTTTTTATGTAACCAAACTAACTAAACTAAATGATCTGCATCTATATTCAGACAGGGCGGAGTTTAAACCAGAAGCTCTTTTAAAAGCCTGAAACTAATATTTTTGGTCAAAATTTGCTATGTTTATTATTTATTAGAAAAGGATTAATAGAAAAATCTAAGGATATCTCTCGGATATTTTTTAATCACAAGAGTCAAAGACTAAAAACCGCAACCCAAATTAGAATTTACCTTCATCACCAGGATGAATTTTAGCATATTTTACTTGGATAATACTTGTTAAAAAGTAAAATATCTGTATCAGATACTCCTGTGCAGTATATCTCTGACCTCTTAGTGCCATACACGCCAGAACGTGCTTTGAGGTCCTCGCCCTCGGTTTTTGTCTGTTCTGGGTGAAAACTAAAGGGGACAGAGCGTTACCTGTCGGGGCCCTGAGGCTCTGGAACAATCTGCCTGAAGAAATTGGGTTGGCTGAGTCAGTGATCACTTTTAAGCTCCTTCTTAAAACATACTTTTATTGGAAAGCCTTTCTTGATTTTACTTGAGTTTTATGTTCATTTAAAGGGCCAGTGTGTAAAATGGGTTGAAAACCGTTGGAAACAGTGACATCAGTGGTCAAATTCTAGATTGCAGGGCTCACTCGCTCACCCCTCCCGTCGGGTAAATGACGGTGGCCTTGTAGGGACAAAAAACCTTGCGCACGAGTTTTTCAGGAGTAGGTCTATCTAGTGACGAGGTGAATGTTTATTTAGAAATCTAAACCATGTTACGATATTGTAATGAATCCCTCACGAGCAGGAGACCAGAGGAGCGTTCGGGAAAAAGGCCCGTTTATTTGAACACTCCAGAAACTCTGGTAACACTCCACTCCGTCCCAAACTCTGACTTTTCTGGCGTAACAGACACACTTCATAACTTTACACACATACTCGTTTACGATACTAAGTGGGGACCAACCCCCCTCCCCTCTCTGCCCCGCCAATCTCCAGCCCGCACAGTGACTGACAGCGTAGCCGGTAAACAGTGCTCAGCTGTTTATTTAGCCTAGCAATATCTCCGGACTATAGTAGCTGCGATGGACGACTTTGAACGCGATTTTGAAGAGTTTCTTGTAGCGGACACAGACCCAGAGCCATACCTGTTTGAGCCGGAGCATACAGATGAAGAACTCCATGTGTTGGATGCTGAGCGGGCGAGAAGAGAGGCTGAATGCACAGAATGGGATTTGGTGCTACTGCTGCCATCGTTGGGGAGATATATCATCAGGAGGAAAAGCACCGCAGAGAGTGCATCACAAGGAGTGAAGTTGCGTCTTCTTTTCCTCGCAGATGACGGTTCGGGTTCATTCTCTCCTGTTGCGTGGTAAGTGTGGTTCATTCTCTATCGACAAACTACTAACACTCTCTGCTGTTTCCTCCTCCTTCTTCCGTCCTCCCGCTGTCTTCGTTGGTTTATTTATACACGCGAAACGCGTTCTCTGGCTGGCTGGATTGTCCGCCCGGTCTGCCGTACATACATGGCGGCGCAAGATGGCGACCTCTCTAAAGCAAGGCCCTTGATATATACAGTACAGGCCAAAAGTTTGGACACACCTTCTCATTCAATGCGTTTTCTTTATTTTCATGACTATTTACATTGTAGATTCTCACTGAAGGCATCAAAACTATGAATGAACACATGTGGAGTTATGTACTTAACAAAAAAAGGTGAAATAACTGAAAACATGTTTTATATTCTAGTTTCTTCAAAATAGCCACCCTTTGCTCTGATTACTGCTTTGCACACTCTTGGCATTCTCTCCATGAGCTTCAAGAGGTAGTCACCTGAAATG